AATGACCTCTACTGCATTCTTTCCATGCAAATCTTTGATAGTAAAAGGACCTACAAAAGATGGTTTAAGCTTCTTGTTACCACCTAAATTATTAAAATTGATGGTAGACAAGAGAACTTTATCACCAATTCTAAAATCAGGCTGCTTATGGCTTTTGTCCCATCTGTTCTTATTATACTCCACTGCATCTTCAACACACCTCTGAGCATGTTTGTGGGTAACATCTAACATCTTCTTAAAGTCAAGAGCTGTGGGATGAATATGGGGTAATTTATCATTCAGGGTATCTTTAGGCATCCTAGGTATCCAGCCTCTTTCAAGAACAAAAGGTATTTCATTAGAAGAAGAATGCTTGCTGCTGTTGTAAGCAATTTCCAAAGCAGGTAAAAGGCTAACCCAATCATGAGTATATCCATCATGGTTTTTGAACTCAAGCCCAAATGCACAAAACCTGCGCAGCATGTCCTCTAATGTCTGGATCATCCTTTCAGCCAAACCATCAGTTTGGGGGTGGTAAGCTGTGGAAAAGGCTAATTTGGTACCCAACATATCATGAAGATTTCTCCAAAATTCAGAGGTAAATTTGGGATCTCTGTCACTGATTATAATTTTAGGTATACCCACATCAGCCATTATCCTATTCCAGAATATCATGGCTACTTCCATAGCAGTGTCATCTTTATGATTGGGGATAAACCTAGCCCTTTTGGAATATCTGTCTACAACCACTAAGACTGAGTTATAAGAATAAGCTCCTCCAGGGGGAAGGCCAGTCACAAAGTCCATGTTAATTATTTCCCATTTAGTAGTGGGTTCAGCAATTTTCTGAAGTAAGCCATATCTCTTACCAGTCTGCTTATTTGACTTCTGACAAACCTCACAAGATTTGACATAGTCAGCTACTTGAGACCTCCAGTCTATCCACCAAGCAGTATGCTTAATTCTCTCTACTGTTCTGTCTTCAGAAAAATGACCAGAGTTGACATTATCATGGCATTCATACAAGATATTATCTATCTGGGCTTGATCACAGAGTACTAAAACACTAGAATGCCTATTTCTGAAATATAATAAACCATCCAGAAGTGTAAATCTTCCTTCAGCATATGGCTTGGCCAGGTTTGGGGGAAGACTGGCAATTAATTCAGGTGAGCTGTTCTCATTTTTCAATATGTCCACTAGTTTAAGCAATTCTATATGGTCCTTATAGCTGTCTTGGACTAAATTGTAGAAGGCAATGTCTAAGTCACACACATGAATACCCAAAATAGGAAAAATATCTTCATCCTCTGGATCCCAGGCAGGGTTATCAGGAGTGTTAGGCAAGGCCCACCTACTAAGTCCATCAGCATTTCTATGCTTGATTCCAGCTTTATGAACAATTGTCATATGTCCCCTATACTGTTGGATAGCAATCTGCCACCTGAGCATATGTCTGTTAGGGGTTTTCATGTTCATGAGAGTTTTCACGGCTGTACAATCCGTGACCACTACAACTTTAGTGCCTTCTAGATAATAGTGTAATTTATCCAAAGACCAAACCAAAGCTAAGCACTCCATTTGGCTAGCTCCATATTTCCTTTCACTAGATTTAATCTGCCTGGAGATAAATAAAACTGGTTTTTCTACAGGTTTGTCATCAATCTGGAATTCTTGGTGTAAGGCAGCCCCCAATCCATCCAAACAAGCATCTATGTATAAAATAAATGGCTTGGTGTAATCAGGCTGGGCCAACACTGGAGCAGTAGTCATCAAATGTTTGAGTTTCTCATAATCTTGTACACGGGAATGGGTCATCTCAAATATTACATTTCTACTACAAATTTCATAAAGGCTATGAGTAATACTGGCAAAACTAGGGATATGTTGCCTATAATAACTACAAAAGCCTAAAAATGATTGCATTTCAGTAATATTTTGAGGCATATCTTTTAGCAATACTGCTGCTACTCTATGTTGGTCAATAGCAAGAGTCAAGCCAGAAACTATTCTGCCCAAAGCTTTGAGTTCTCCATACCCAAAATGACACTTCTTGATAGACATTTTGAGACCAGATGAGACTGCCATTTCCAAGACAAGACCAATTTTCTCTAAATGAGTATCCCAATCATCAGAATAAATAATAATGTCATCTATATACACCATCATCCAATTCTGGCGGATAAATTTCCCAAATATGGAGTCCATCATTCTTTGGAAATGGGAAGGAGCATTTTTAATACCAAAAGGCATCCTTAAGTATTCATAGACACCCAAATGGCAAATAATGCGCATAAATTTCCTACTTTCTGGTTCAATAGGTATCTGGTGAAAACCTTTGAGAACATCCATAGTAGTAATATACTTGGCTTTAGACAGGTTATGTAGAGAGTGGTCTATCCTGGGGATGGGGTAATTATCAGCTTTTGTGTAATTATTCAAAGCTCTAAAATCCCCTACCATCCTGGATTTATCATTATGCCAAGCTATGATAACAGGAGTAGTAATTTCAACTTGCTCATTATGGCCTACCTTCCTAATAACTTTTAAATCCAAAAGTTCTTTGATATGGGTTTCCAATGCTAACCTGGATTTTGGGCTAGAAGGGTAAGGGGCTCTTCTAAGAGCAGGAGGATAAGGAGGTTGACAAGTCAATTCTAATTTGATATTATGTCCTGTCACATTTCCTATGGGCTCTTCTGTGGTGCAAAAAGCCTCTTTATATTTATGACAAATTTTTAGAACATCTTGTTTCTGATCCTTATTCAAAATGTCACTCACAGCTGCCTGTGATAAATATTCTTTATCAAAGTTAATGACTTCCTGTGTAAGACAAGATACTTGGTTAATTGGCTCAGGAATTTTAATATTTATATTGCATATTTGGAATTTCCTTTTCCAATCTCCACCAATGGTGTAGTATCTATTCTTACTCTGAAAAATATCAATTCCATACAGGCAAAAGGTGTCATTTCCCAGAATAAAGTATTCACATAAAGCATCCTGTAATACAACAAATTCCACATTAAGCCTTAATGATCCTTTGGAGTGAGGAAATACTAATGGCATGCTAATCACTCCTAGAGGTTTCATGGAGGAATTACAACTACTAAATTTAGCCTTGGGGACAGGTAAAAGGTATTTTCTCCATTCAGGGTAACATAAATCAAGAAAATCACTACTGGTGCAGGAACAGAAGGCTCCAATGTCTAACAGGGCTTTCCATTCCTTCCCTTGGAACATGACTGTAGTATAACTAGTCTTACCCATGGTGTAACTCATGCCAGCTTCAGGTTTATTTGAAAGAAGCTTGGCATCAGAGATGTGGCCAATTTCCATAGAGGAGTCCCATTTCTGGGGTAAATTAGAATCTCCATGAATGGTATTAATTTCCAACTCATCCCCTATGTCAGCTTGAATGACTTGAATTCTGGAATCAGAGTCATATTCAGAATCATCTCTTCGTTGATTGGTGTGAAAATCAGAGTTATCAGGTTCTACTTGGATCATATCAAACCTGGAAGAAACTTCTTCATCACTGTCAGGGTCTGCTTGAATATTATTGATCTTTTTCCTGGGATTTGGGCACTCAGGTCTTTTATGGCCCTTTTCCCCACAATTATAACATTCAGGTATATCTGTTTTTCTGGGAGCTTGATCAGATCTCTTATTGGAGTTATCCATCCTAGCGGAGCTGTCTGAAGTCTTATTGGCATTACCACTAGTCTTTTCATCTTTGGGGTTATTATTGGGAGTTTTATTTCTCCTGTTCAAACCCATCATTTCAACAACTTCTTCCATGACTTCAATAAGCTCAGAGATATCTACATCCATGTCTTTGAGTCTGCATCTAACAGCATGTTCCATACTTCCTCTACATTGACTGAGAAGTTTGTCATTGACCAATATTCTTGTTTGATTTGTGTAAATACAATCAATTCTTTTCTTTTGGGCAATACACCAGTCATGAGGGTCATCTTTCATGGGGTCAAAGTAATTTGTCTCAAATAATCTACGCATTTTCTTTTCCCAGAGTCTAGTACCATATTTGATTTTAATTAACTCCTTCCAAGTATCCCAAGATTGTGCCCCTAGGGATTCAGTTTTCTCAATAAACCATACTAGAGCACCTCCTTGAAATAATCCTGGAAGTCTGACTGTGACTAATTCATCTGGGGCATTATAAGTCCTTAGTATGTGATCTAAATATTTAATAAAGCTGATATGATCATAATCACCCTTTCCATTAAAGGTAGGCCAATCTTTTAATGGTGGTATCATTTTATTTAAAGTGGCTAGATCCATATTGTAGTACTGGGATGGAGACTTTTCTGGGGTATTCTTATAGAAGGTCTGTGAAGATTTTCCCTGAGTAGTTGGGAAGTGAGGGGCAGCTTCTTTCTCATAGCGCACATTTTTCTCTTCCATATAAGGATTGTTAAACCTTGGTTCCTTATTTTTGAAGGCAGGTGCTGGAGTCTCAGGAGCGTGTTTAGAGAAGCCTTCTCTAATTAATTCTGATAGAGTATGAACATTGTTTTGAATTTCAGTCCTCATTTCTTGTCTAAGAGTGGCCATTTGTTCATTCAAGGTATTTTGAATACCTTCAGATCTTATATTCTGTTGAATTAGTAGGTCTTTGATCATATCTAATTCTTTATTGTTGGCGCTCTTAGCAAGAAGAGCATCTTCTCTCATCTTAGATAATATGTAGTCCGCTGTAGAGGTTAATTCATTGTTCAAGTTATCAACCGCGGTGGTTAATTTGGAACAGGCTAATTGGCTTTTAGCGGTATTCTCAGCTATGAGCTTGGTAGCCTCAGGGTTTATGGACAATGGATTGCGGAGCATGTTATCAAACTTTAAAGACAAAGAATCAGACGCTTTCTTATTGTTCCTAGTATTTAAATCGAAACTATTTACAATTGATTTAAAATTGCTTTCGGCGTTGCTGTCAATCGCCGAAAGATTTTTATTTACAAGATCAAGGCTATCTAAGATAGCGGTAAGGATTTTTACATCTAATCCATGTTCATGTAACCCGACTCGAGGGTGTGGCATGCCTTCATGAGCTTCTTCCAGCGGCGCGGGTCGTTCATCTTCGCGTCTTTGTAAGAGAAGTTGGCTCGGGAGGAGGAACTTCTTTTCTTCCCTCCTCCCTCTTGTTGAAGGACTGGGAAGAGATCCCTCTTCGCGGTCCAAGGGTTCCAACCCTTTACGTATTCTTCTACCTCGGCTCGAGGTATCAACTTCTGGAGAGTCCTTTGACTCTCTTGAGCTCGATTGAGGAGAGCGTGGTTCCCCTCGCTGGCGCCTAAGGGTAGATCCGCTTCGAACTTCTTCCAAAGAGCTATGTGTTCTTTGACGAGAAGTTGAATTCTCTCTTCCTTCGTCAAGATTCGTACTTCTGGCGACTTGAGGCGTTGCTGGGTATCCGCCGAGGAGCTCGACGCTTGAGGATCTATATCCATCGCGTCCGGTGCTTTCTCGACTGAACTCTTGGTAGTCTTCGCCGCGGTTTGAGTCATTCGAGCCGTGGCTGGAGTCTCGCCGGTCGGTATCAAGCCGTTCTTGGCCAATGTCTCCTCGGTCGGTCTCTCGACTGAGACTGGCGCCATCTTTTTCTGGATGGTGATCAGTTTCAGTCGATTGACGCGCTCCTCCAGCTGATTGGCCGCGCCGCGGTCGAGTGGCTGGGGGTAAGGGGCCGTGGAGGTCTGGATTGTTCGACCTGGTGGACATTATGGAGTAGTGTTTGTTAGTTTGGGGTTTTGGACTCGAAAGCAGTCTGTAGTACAATAACTAACCAGTGTTAGGACTGTTAGCAGCTGTTTCCGCGACGGGAGTCGTTCCGGCATCTGGGGTAGTGGCAGCGCTGGAGTTAGAAGTAGTCGACACTGTTTTTGAGTCGGATAAGAAAAGAAAAAAATTTGATTCAATTTCTTTTTGGGATGTAAGAGTGTTGTTAAAGAAAGAAGCGCTTACTTCTAGCGAGTCTTTTATCTCTGAGTTCAGTTAAAAGTAAGCGGCGTCTGGTTTTGTGATCTCTTTTGACGGAGTTCCAAAGCAACAGGTTGGCAATTCTTTCTTCTTCACGGATCTCGACGCGTTTGATAGCTCGAGCGCGTTGTTCTTCTGGGGTAAGTAATTCCCAGTCTGAGGGTTGGTAGTTTGCTGCGCGCTGTGCTTTTTCAGACGCAAGGAGGGTAAGGTAGTACTGGATTAGTTTAGCGGTTTCTTCCAAATTCACTAAGAGGAAGATAGAAAAAAATGATTTTTAGTAAAGATATGTTTTTGTGAATTTTTATATTTTTATAATATGTTTTATGGGTTTGGTTTTTAGTGGAAAAAATTCGAGAAAAGGTGTAAAAAATAAATGATTTTTTATAGATTTTTATTTATTTTTTAGTAAAAAAATAAGGCCAGGGTTTTATCAGAAAATAGAGATATTTCCCGGCCAGACCCCCAATTGTCAGCCTGAGTGATGCCAAGAGCAGAAACTCTTCTAGCTACACTAGGTGCAAGGATGAATTCAGAGGTGTACACGTGTGGGTGACACGTGAAAAGTGGGTAGAAGTGTGGTAAAAAGTAAATAAAAACTGTTAAGTTTTTATTTACAGAGGGGCCTGAGTTACAGGGGTTTTTAAGGTGCCCTCTAATATCAGGTCCTGGGTTACAGGGGTGGTACTGATGTTCTGGTCCTTTGTAATAAAGGAGTATGCCCAGAAATAGCCTACAACTGAAGAAACAAAGAAATAATACTTACTAGTACTTATCTCTAAGCCAAGGAAGTCTTCAGGAGGGGGGAACTGTTCTTGAAGCGCTCAGAAAGGTGGGTGAGAGATGTTGGAGGAGTGCTGGGGAACAGGTGTTGGTTGGTTGATGGAAATTCAGGTTGATAACAGCAGGAACAGGGCCAATGGGCAGTTGAAAACTGGTTGTTGGTGACGGTTTATGCTGGTAAGTGATGATGAAGATGGGGAAACAAAGTTCAGGGGGAAGAAGGGGCTCTTAAGTACCCATTCTGGGCCTCTGGAGGCGAACTCAGGAGTCTCTCTAGTTGCTACAACTCTCCTACTAAGCCTATGGGAGCTTTTGATCATCTGTAGCACCTGTAGAGCTTGGTTACAGGTGCCAAGGAGATGATGTAATGCTTGTAACCATGTTTACAGGGTGTTCTGACGAAACTGTAACACTCCTGCAGCCTATGTAAGCACTGCATGATGCATGGGTTGATCTTCAAGAGAGTAATTGTCCCAATTGGGCCAAAAAGGGCCACAGATCATCCCAAACAGTTTAATACTGTAGTCTGTGCTTATGTAGTTAAGGTTTCAATGATGTAGACCTTGTTTGTAGATTTTTCCCGAACTGTATGAACCTTAATTACACATGTAGCCCCCTTACAACATGTAGTATGATGTAACTGGAGGGGTCTACAGTGTATTTTGGTCCAATATCACTCAAGGACTACAAAGTAAGTGAAGGAGTAATAATTCAGGGGTACACTTGGTGAGCTACCCTAGGTTATTTTGCATGTAGATTCAGAATCTGCAATAATATTCTGAGTTATACTTAAGGTTCAGAAGTTATTAGGAGATTCTGGTTAAAAATGTTATTTTTCCTTATTTATTTAATTATTTAAATGGTTTTCTCATAGAATATTACAATGTAAGTGCACAGTGTAATAATGTCTCTATTATAGTGTTTCCACTTATTTAAATAGTATATTTTTATTGTTTTTAATTGTATGTACATATGTAAGTAATAATATCTCTAATTTATATGTAAAATGCTATGTACAGGCTGGCTCTGATTAGTAGCAGGCTGACACGACCTATATAAAATCGACAAGAACCGCCCCGACTTAATTATCATCACCGATTTAGATCGTGCCAAGAAACTAGCTCTGGAGACTCATATTCGCCTCGGCCACCGGAACGCCCGAGATACGTTGTTTCAACTAAGAACCGAGTGTCACTTTCCTTTCATGGGAAAGATAGTTGACGACGCTATAGACACCTGTACTTCTTGTCAATTTTGCAAACCAAATTCGGATCGAAACAAAATGCCACTTCAAGTTATAGAAAGAAAAGGCCCCTTTGTCACCTGGGGAATGGATTTTGTGGGACCTCTACCGAGAACACCACGCGGAAATCAATACTTAGTAACAGCAATCGATTACGGCACTGGCTGGGCCTATGCAGTACCCTTGGCAGCAAGGTCTGGCTTAGCAGCGGTGCGACTAGTCAAGACAATCATCGAAAACCACGGTTTTCCCCACTCAATTACCACCGACAATGGGACTGAGTTCAATGGTAACGTATACCAAAACTTCTTAGCAGAACACAACATCAAACATAATCGAATTTCACCCTATCATCCGCAATCAAATGGACTCGTTGAAAGATTTCACGGTACGTTAGTTGGCAGTATAAGAAAAATGTGTGTTCCAGACAAACAGACTGAATGGGACTTACACATCGGTTTAGCACTTTTTGGTTATCGAACATCGAAAACCGCAGGACTAGAACGCTCCCCTTTCTACATGTGTTATGGCGTAGAACCAACAGTAGCGGTAACATACCAACAAGACCGAACTGAATCCCAAGCGAAAAGATCAACCCAATTCAATAAAGAACGACAAGCACAAATCGACAAGATCAACTTAAAGGCAACAGTCAGGTCGGCCAGGAGCGAAACGAAATATTTCGAACGGAATTTGAAGCCAGGAGACTTAGTCTTAAGGCAGTTTGAAAACCGCCCAAGTAAGTTACATCCGAAATGGGACGGACCATTCATAATAGATTCAGCTAACGCGAATGGGAGTTTCAGGTTGCAATGTCCTAATGGATATGTCCTCAAGGGCGCTTGCAACGGAGACCGACTCAAAAAATACTACGGTAATCTCGACAAACTGCACTTCAGTAATAATGTCAAGAAAGGAGCCGGCACGATGATGGACAAGAACAAAAGTGATCGCCGATTACGTGGACGAATCCCAATCAACTAGAACAAGCGCGGAAGCTTGTGACTCCAGAGGGGATGATGTGAAGCCCCGGATTCCGGTTAAGGTAATGGCTCTAGCGGAGCCTTATCCAGCTACTAAATACTCTGTCGACCGCTCTCGGTCGTTCTCTTTCCCTTATTTCCTTAAGCTATTTACTGTCCGCCGCTCTCGGCTATTGTATTTATACTCTCGCTTCTTATCTTTCCTATTCCTTTACCTTGTATATTAGAGATACTAAATACGGACCGAACTTAGCCAAGTCCGGTCGTTTTCCTTACTGTCTTATAACACTTAGTCGTCCCATCTAATGGGACTCCTCACATCTCTCTCGTGTTCTCTCTCTTCCTAACCGATGCTTCCATTCCACCCCTCGTCTATAAATACGAGCTCTCGATGCTGCAATACAATCCCCAACAAAGTTCTCTTGTACCTTTTCTGCACCTCAAAAGCCGGCGAGATTCACACAGTCTACGATCATGGACACCGGAAAGCAGGACGTGGTCATGTGTGAGGTCTTGATTCGAAAAGTAGCCCGGCGAGCTGGTTTGAAAGCCAGCTCGTCGGAAGGAACCCCTTCCGACGAGCTGAATCATGTACGGCCAGCTTGTCGGAAGGGATTCCTTCCGACGAGCTGGCATGTACACAGGCTCGCCGGGAGGGGTTCCTCCCGGCGGTGTGACCTCGGCCTCTCTAGGCCGAGGGGGTTTGAAAAAAAAAAAAAAAAAAACAATGGCGGGGCCGTCCCATAGGACCCATGCCTGGGTCCTATGGGACAGCCCAGGTCCTAAACGCATATAAATATGCGTTTAGGACCGCAATTGGGCGTGCAGGCAGGCACGCCAACCTGCAGGGTATACCCCCTGCAGGCGAGTGGTGTGCCTGCCTGCACGCCATTCTGCAATGGCGTGCAGATTTGCGTGCGCCATGGGGGTTGGCGTGCGCTTATCAACCCCCGTGCAGAATAGGTCCAAAAAAATTAATATGAATAAATACAAACAAAAAACAAAGTTTCAAAATTTGTAAAAACTAAACAATAAAATTGATTTTTTTTCAAAAGCTTTGATATTCATTTTGGGGAAGTGTGAGTGCAAAGAGAAAGAAAGTATGGGAAATGGTAAGAATGATTATAAATGAAAATGTTGGAAAAATTGGCTACCAGATTGTTTTAACCAGTTGTCAAGTGGGGCATTCACCGGCTCACATTGCAGTCAAGCACTAGAATTTACTGTTTTTACTCCTATCTGAACAACCAACCTGGCTCAACCTTTTTTGGTTCCATTTTTTTCATTTATAATCATTCTTGTTATGTTCCACTCTTTCTTTCTTTCAGCACTCCCACTTCCCCAAAATGAATACCAAAGCTTTGGGAAAAGGGCCTTAATAAAAAAAGGGGCTTGGTTAATCGACTCCCAAAAGTTGGAGAGTCGACTCCCAAACCCCCAAAACCCCCAAAACCCCCGAAATTCCCCCATATCCCCCGAGTATTGGGAGTCGATTCCACAAACCCGTCAGCGGGTTTGGGAGTCAAATCCTCAAAAATTTTAAATAAAAAAAACAAAACCCCCGGAGGGGGAACGAGTCAATGCCCCGAAACCCAGTGGGTTTTGGGGGTCGGCGAGCCAAAAAGAGCCCTCGACGGCCGGGAGGGTTTCTCTTGGCCGTCGAAGGTGTACATCCTTGACGGCCGGGAGGGTTTCTCTCGGCCGTTGAAGGTGTACATCCTTGACGGCCGGGATGGTTTCTCTCGGCCGTTGAAGGTGTACATCCTTGACGGCCGGGAGGTTATCTCTCGGCCATTGAGAGTGACACCCTCGACGGACGCCAACCGTTTCTCTCGGCCGTTGAAGGTGTACATCCTGACG